GTGAACAAAGAGAAATCAACATAATAACATTACTTTTTAACACTGGGTGTCATATTTTAAGCAACGGCTTTAAGTTATTTCCATTAACTTCCTCCTCACTGTTTGCAATCCAAACCCCTTTCGTAAGGAGCCTGTAAAAGCATCGAATCCAAGAACAATTATTTACCAAGACGTTAGTGCAGTGATGAGCTTTTTTACAGTGCATCAGGGCTCGAAAAACAGTACATCTATATCCTTCTACAACTACAACTGTTATTATTCTTCTCTAAGTTTACCTTCAATTTCTTTTTGCAGTTCATTTAGTTCTTTCTGCGGTTTTTTAATGAGCTTTCCCAACTTGGACCTTTCATAGAAAGAGTTCATTAAATCTTTTCTAAAAGTTCTTGTGTCGTGCTTACAGATGTTAATGGTAGACAGCAATACTATCGTCAACAATGCCAACGTTTTTACCAAATAAAGATGAATAAAGGAACTAAAAAAGTCTCATTTTCTTAAATTCTGCTTGAATAATAGAAACTTTCAAAGTAAAGCTTTAGAGTTACGCAGTTCCTCTTCATTACTTTGTAACTGCTCGCTTAACCCGTTAAATCAAAATATAAAATTGGAACTTCGTACAACCCGATGTTTATAATCTTATCAACAACAGAAACAAGTGATTCTTCATTAATAATGCAAGAACTGTGAGCTGTCGAGATTAGCAGGAATTTACTGTTACTGTCTAAGATACATCGTCGTACTTTCAGTTCGACATAGAAGGAAATAGTCTAGGCAGCTCCAGTTTGTTCAAAGCAGGCAGTGTCACTTGAATACCACCAATCATTCTGACTACTCCATAGCTTTAATTTAACTCTGTCGAGTAGTTGCAAAAGTTTTATAATTTTGCAATTGTAAAAACTTTACTTTTCTTACTTTTTTTCTAATCCTTTATTCAACTGTGTTTAGTGTTTGCTTAACCCAAATAGACCCCTGTAATTGTAACCTTTGTTACTACGATGTTTAACGTAATTTATGCAGACGGTAACAAATCGTGCTGTAAAAATTAACGCCAAAATACACTAAATTCTTGTAGTGACGGCATCAACAATTGGTGATATTCAAGTGGCTCTACATGCTAAAAATCTTTAACACAATATAAGTCTAAGTTCTG